GGAGGTTAAGTGTGACTTTCAAATGCTTTCTACCCATTTAGAATACATACCGCCTGTTCATGGAGTCCTATACAATTATTGCATGTGTGGCTGTTTGCTATACTGCCCATGCTAGTGCTCTAGAAGCAGCGGCTATCAGTACAAGTCCATGTCTGGTTCACCTGCATATGTGGTTCAGCCCCTCTCATCCCTTTTCCTTATGTAACTGTCATATGTCATTTGTTGGGAGCCACCATGGTGTAGCAGCTAGATGCTCACCTGCGGACAGGAAGGTCGTGGGTCAAGTAATGATGAGCCAGATTTTTTTTACAAATGACCTTGGCTTCCAGGTTGACTCAGCCTTGAGGTGTAAGGTATAGTCCTGGGCAGTAAAAACAGCCGGCATGATGCTGACCAGTTGGTCTATAAAATATAGGTCTAGCCCTATATGCCTAATACGCCTGAAGGCGTAGAAAAGGTTTAAAAACTTTTTTTAAATGTGATTTGCTAGCAACAAGTTGGAAAGAACTACAAGAACTGACAGAAACACTGGTAGTAGAAAGTAACAAAATGGACCTGTTTGAATAATGTGAGACAGAATTAAGGGCGATATCCAAGAAAATAATAGTGCCTAAATGTATATTAAAAGTGAAAGGCATTATTTTAAGACAAGTACAGATATTTAAGTATCTAGGCACATGGATAACATCTGATGGAAGATGTATCACAGAGATAAAGAACAGAACAAGACAGCCAAAAAGAGCAACCCAGATGTTTTGAAAGAGGTGAGGGCTCGAAGGCAACTCATCAAAAACATCAGAAATAGACGGTCAACATTTTTTTGGTTATGTTATGAGAAGATGGAAAATGTTGTGATCACTGGAAATATCTGTGGAAACAGAGGCAAAGGACAACAGCGTGAAAAGATTCTTGACAGCTTTCTGTTACGGCACAGTGGGTGGTCAACACATGAACTGATTTTGGAGAGGAATGACCACCCATGCTAGCCAGTAAAGCACTTGATGATGATGATAATGATTGTGTGATTTAAAACTTGAAAGATGATTTATAATCTTTCAGTGCCTCCCTGGTAACTACTCAGGAAATGAGAACATGTTCATTACCTTGTGCCATGTTGCCCGCTCCTAACTGTCTTTCAGCAAATTTCTGGAATGAAAGATTTTGAAAACTTCATTTGTAAATGACAAGTTGTAAAAAAACACTTAAAACAGTTAATGTGTTTTTAATATTAGGGAAAACACTGTTTAATACCACCAAGCTATAGAGAGTACTGAGAGATAGTTAAATTTTACTCTATTAGTCAGTATATGTAATAATAAATACCAAGCTTGTTACACAATACTTCCTTTGAAGTCGGAGTGCATCTACCTGACAGACAGGCAAGGAACCAGCAGTCTGCACACAAATAAGCTGGATCTGTAAAACGGATGTGCAGGCAAAACTCAAGTTCTGGAACAAGACTTAGGTCCAAAAGTGGGCAAACAACCAGAACTTTCCACCAGGGTTTACATATGTAATAGGAAATTATAATTTGCTCTGCGTTACTGGAATAATCAATATTTGCAAAGGGAAATTCCAAATTTTATCCTTAGACAAGGATAATATTGCAAATATACTGGGTGGACAAGGAGAATTTTGCTAATATACTGGGTGGACAAGGAGAATTTTGCTAATATACTGGGTGGACAAGGAGAATTTTGCTAATATACTGGGTGGACAAGGAGAATTTTGCTAATATACTGGGTGGACAAGGATAATATTGCAAATGTACTGGGTTGACAATAAGAATACTGTGGATATCCTGCCTGGACAAGGATAATATTGCTAATTTACTGGGTGGACAAGAGGAACACTGCGGATATACTGGGTGGGCAATAAGAATACTGCGGATATACTGGGTGGGCAATAAGAATACTGCGGATATACTGGGTGGACAATAAGAATACTGTGGATATACTGGGTGGGCAATAAGAATACTGCGGATATACTGGGTGGACAATAAGAATACTGCGGATATACTGGGTGGACAATAAGAATACTGCGGATATACTGGGTGGACAATAAGAATACTGCGGATATACTGGGTGGACAATAAGAATACTGCGGATATACTGGGTGGACAATAAGAATACTGCGAATATACTGGGTGGACAAGAAGAATACTGCGGATATACTGGGTGGACAAGAAGAATATGTTGGTTAAGCTCACTCATTAATTTTCAGTCGATTTTGTGGATACATACTGGGCATTCACCAGCTAAAATGTAAGTAGTTTCCATATTGTTTTCTTTTTTTTTTTTTTTCCCCCACAACATTTTGAGCTGAATATGGGACAACCTAAGAAAGTCAGTGCTCCCACACCCCCTTTTTTTCAACCTCCACATGTATTATTATTTGTTTTTATTATAAGGAACTAATACATTTTAAGAAGATGAGTTTACAGAGATTATATAAGCATAACAACTGTATAAGCCATACTAATTAATTAATATAAAAATTTGTTTCTCTAGTATTCCCTTTTAGTATGTAAATATGTATATACCTATATAACCTATAACTATGTTCTATTCTGAAGCTTATTTCTAGAATTTCTGTGGGGAGTACTAAGGGAAGGGCTGGAAACACACCAAAAAACATGACTCTCGGGGTGAACCCAGAATGCATTGTTAGCCTGGGGTTGTAACGTCACGTACTGCCTATTAATCCAGAAAAGATATTGACTGATACCTCTTGTAATTTTTTACTTAATGTTTTTTTTAATCTGCATCAAAACAAACCAATGAAATGTCAGTTTGTAAGAGCAAATCAAGTGAAACCTCTTACTAGCCAATCCAGAGAGGGCTCTTTAATAAAACACGTCCATGGTGCTGAGCAGCAGATCTGAATCATCTCTCAGAGCTTGCAGCACGTGTCTCATGGTGCTCTCCAGCTGACCTTTGACCTGCAGGGGCATGTTGAGGCTGACAAACTGTCGGGTTAGTCGGAATGGCACCAACTCTGGCACACCCAAAAACTGAAATACATGGAATATGAATCAAGACATTTTAATCGTACAAATGCTTACACATACAAAACAGTAACTACATGTAGTGTGGCTCACAAGACTCACATTAGAAGTAAATCATGGCAATTCTGCATAGGAGATGAAGGTTTGTGGGGAAATAAACAGGCTGCTGCCCCTCTGATTTACTTTATGGTAAGGTAGACATGATGAAAGTTCTCAGGAATCAGATGCACAGAACCATGACAGTGATAGAACATACACACATGGATGATACTTAGCCCTTAGGGCAGAGATGGCCAACACCAGAAGTGACAGAGAAACACACCTGGATGACAAAGAGAAAGGTTCAAGTGAGAGGATCAACTTCACTACACGGGGGTTTATCCTATATAGCTCAGCCTTTCTCCGCAGAACAGCTAGCTATCCTGCTGAAAGCGTTGCACAGAGCAAGACCTCCGTAGCTCAGACAACGATCTTCAGGGATTCCGGTGAAAAATTGCTCTCGTGAACTAAGCGGTGGCACTGTAAAAAGAATCCACGACCTTCAGAGTGTGAGGCGAATGGCTTAACCACTTTGCCATGAAGACCCCCACCTGGATGGCATTAAACTCTCAAGGCAGGGGTGACCAAAACATGGGCAATGGTCTACTAGTCAACTAAATAGTAATGAGAAGTAACATGCTGAGGTCTGTTATACTGCATGTTTTAAACATTATTTTTGTTTGACTCTGTGGAGTCAACAATCTTTAAAATAGACTGCCTCTGATTTCTTAATGAAAACTAGACCACCTGTGATTTCTGAAATGAAAACTAGACCACATTGACTTCTGAAATGAAAACTAGACTACCTGTGATTTCTGAAATGAAAACTAGACCACCTGATTTCTGAAATGAAAACTAGACCACATTGACTTTTGAAATGAAAACCAGACCACCTGTGATTTCTGAAATGAAAACTAGACCACCTGTGATTTCTGAAATGAAAAGTAGACAGCCAGTGATTTTTTAAAATGAAACGTAGACAGCCCATGATTTATAAAATAAAAAGTAGACTACCAGGGATTTCTGAAATAAAAAAAAATAGAGACGGCCAGTGATTGAAAAATAGCCTTTAAACCTAAAATGGCTGGCCTCCACGGTCTCAGGGAAAAGGATAGGTGGACTTTCAATGATCATCAGCATGAGAACTATTCACTGGCTGGCTTCTAAAGAAGGGAACAGAGCAGGCATATGTGGGAATGTCTCAGGCAGTTATATGAATTCTCGACTCGCACATTCACTGTTTTCAAGCACAAAGCAGACCTAGGCTAGTACACAGTGATAACATTCTACAATGGCAGGAGATTCTGAGAGTCAGGGCAACACATTCGTTATCCAGTAAAATAGTAAACCTCCCAACATCATTTAATCCTTTCAATCAAGAGCTTCTACTTCTTCGTTTGCTCTAGAAAAGGTGGCTGGCCTGTCGTCTTGTAGTTTACAGCCTGGCTGTGATATCTGCACTCTTCGGCCCAACACAGGCTATTTCTGCAAGTCCTTAATTAGTCAGTTTACATGACATGCTTGTCAAGAGGCGATGGGTTACCCCCCCCCCCCCCCCCCCCCTACTATGCTGTACAATAGACATTTTGTTCAGAAGAAAACTCCACAGATGCTACTATTATTGTTTACAGAAAGCTTAATTCAAGGTTAGAGTCCACCTGCCTGAGAGGCAAAGAATCCAACAGTCAACAAACGAATAAGGCAGACTGTAAAACAGATGTATATGTCACACTCAAGTCCTTTAACAAGAACAAAACCCAGAAGTGGATGAACAACCAGGACTTTCTGCCAGAGTCTATACCCAGTGAACGTAAAGAAGAAGAAGGAAGAAGATGACAGAAAGAGAGCAGATACTTTAACAAAACTGGAAAACTTAGAGATGGAGAACAGTGCTGTACCCAACAAGAGGAAACCATACAATCTAATAACTTTAAAAAAAAAGCATGGGCCAAACCTGTGTTGCTGTGCCAAAAGCATGGCCAAAATCAATCCCAACCAAGTGTCCAGTCTTGAGATTGACCATAAAATTGGACAAGTGCCTGTCCCCAATCCCCAGCAGGTACTGGCAAACACAAATCACTGCATGCGAGGTGATCATGGCCGTTCTCAAAACATGGAATGCTTCAGGGGACGAACTCATTTTCTTGATGGCTCGCCTGCAAATTGAAGAATAAAAGATGTCTACAAAATACAGTTACATGACCAACCATGAAGCCAGATAAGTTTGTTAAATTCTGAAAACCCAGTTACTTGGACAACCATCAGGCCAAAAGAAGTTGGTTAGTATGTGAAAACAGTTACTCGGCCAAACATGAGGCCAGATAAGTTGGTTAATAGGTGAAAACACAGTTCGATGGTCAATCATTAGGCCAGATAAGTTGGTTATTAAGTGAAAACACAGTTACTTGGCCAAACATTAGGCCAGATAAGTTGGTTATTAGGTGAAAACACAGTTACTTGTCTAACTATGAGGCCAGATAAATTGGTTGGTCAACTAAAGTGCCAACCATGAGGCTAGATAAGGTCCTTGGCCAACTATGAGGTAAACAGACAGCATTGAACTCATATGGATCCCAAAGAGGGCTTGCATCTATTGAAGAGATGTTGCTACTGATTTTCTGCTGATTTTTAGGGGGTCTTCACGATGAAATGATCAAGCTGTTTGCCTCTCACTCTGAAGGGTGCGGGTTTGTTTCATAAAAGTGCTGTTCAGTTCATGAGTGCAGTTTTTACAGAGATCCTGGAGGATCATCACTGGAGCTAAGAAGTCTCTGCTTTGTGCTACATGGAGAGCAGACCCACTGCCTCCCTAACCAGCACGTCACACTAGGCAACTAATCAGGAGAATTGCCTTGCAAGACCACCTTGTTTTGATTTCAACAGTGGTATTGACAGCAAACTGTTCAGAAAGCAACGGCAATCATCATCATCTTCAGGTGCCTTGCCGACTGGCATGGGCGATCATGCCTCTCCATAATCTGCGATCTCCTGCAGCATGTATTAGTTCGTATGCTGACACACCTCCATGCCATGCAACAAGACTGTCAAGCATCTTCTCTCGTTGTCTTCCACTATCCCTCCTTCCACAGATCTTTCCAGTGGTCACAACATGTTCCATTTTACCTCTTCTCATAACGTGGCCGAAAAATGATGACCGTCTCCTTCTGATGTCTGTGATTAGTTGTCTTCGGGCTCCCGCCTCTTTAAAAACCTCTTGGTTGCTCTTTTTGGCTGTCCAAGGTATTTTAAACATTCTTCTGTACAACCACATCTCTGAGGCCTCAAGAAATTGTTTGGCCTGCCTACCAATTGTCCAGGACTCAGAGCTATATGTTAAAACTGGATGTATGTAGCAAGCAAGAATTCTTCTTTCTAACCCTCAATGGCAATAGAGGACATAAATATTCCCTAGTAAAAATCACAAAGTATAACAAATGCTGGGGTTGGTTCTGCAAAGTCCTGTAAAGAGAATACGACTTACTTGTTATATATCATTCACTATGACAAGTTGACTGAATACTATTAATGGCTGTTTACCACATGTTACCTTGATAAATCCCAAGGAACTTTGCCCTCAAACAGCCGGAACTGTCTTACGGTTTCAGTCAGGCTGTACTTTTTAAACACTTCATCATAAATCAGGGGATAGTTGTATCTGCTGGCTTCGTTCACTAGTTTCCGCACCCAGTTTAAATGCTGATCGGTCGGACCCTGCCTGGACAAACACACAAGTGACTTTACATAAGAACAACTGGGACAGATGTTTTAAAATAAATAAAAAAAGATTATGAACTGCTTTGCAAAGATATAGAAAAATGGGACACCCGTGCTAGTATCTTTCTTCACTGTTACAGCACTTTATAGCGATTGTTATAGAGTAATGTTCCTACTGCCGAGGAACAGATGCAGGAAACTTAACATCCTACGACATGCTTGATTAGAAAGAAATGGTACGGGACAGACAGACAGACAATATTTCATCAGTAGCAGGGGACCCAGAGTGCAGTGCGCCAGAGAGAGTATTTTAAGAATAAGCGAGATTATATGGGAAGACGTGACGTGAGACAGGAACACAAAAGGCCTGACCTGAGGATTTGAGACGCAACTGTAGCACTAACACGTTTCATGGTCTTAGACATAGTTGATAAACATCAACCTGGGCGACTATCCAGACAGGACACTGCCACACTATGATTCAATGCTACCTTTTGTGGCTTAGGTGTAGCAAATACGGTTTGTAATTTTGAGGCAGCCACGGACAATTTCCCAGCTGCAGACAGTTTGGTAGCAGACCGTTTTGCTTTGTTTTGACAAGGATTATCAAGAGCCGATCAGTCAGAAAGCACTGGAAAAACTAATGAATGCAAAACTGCCCACAAAAATCACAGCCAATAAATGCTCGGGTTGGTACTGCAATGCCCTGTAAAGGATACACAGCTAACAGTTATGTTTGCTAATATTTATTATGTGTGGCCTGTGCTAGTATTTATCTTCTCTATTTTAGCACTTGCTGGCTATGTTTGCTAATATTTATTATGTGTGGCCTGTGCTAGTATTTATCTTCTTTATTTTAGCACTTGATGGCTGTTTGCTAATATTTATTATGTGTGGCCTGTGCTAGTATTTATCTTCTCTATTTTAGCACTTGCTGGCTGTTTGCTAATATTTATTATGTGTGGCCTGTGCTAGTATTTATCTTCAGGTCTAGGACTTTTGCACTTGCTGGCAAATTTTACTTCTTTTTATTATGTGTGGCCTGTGCTAGTATTTATCTTCTCTATTTTAGCACTTGCTGGATGTTTGCTAATATTTATTATGTGTGGCCTGTGCTAGTATTTATCTTCTTTATTTTAGCACTTGATGGCTGTTTGCTAATATTTATGTGCAGCCTGTACCAGTACTTACTTGCCATCTACAGACTTCCTCTCTTCATCAGACAAGGCATCTCTGAAAAATTCCTTTACAGGCTGAGTATTTCTCATCCACTCTATAAGTCCCACCCTAGAAAAGAAAATGATCCAATGAATTAGTACATGGTTATAAAATGTATTAATGTTAACAATTACAGTGAAACATCAAGAACACGAACTTGCTTGAGAGAAAAAACTCTGTTTACACGGACAAAACTGTGGTTCCAGCAGGGATGTAAGCATGCATTCTTTAAATGCGAATTCTTGATTTTTTTTATCTCTTTGAATTTGTATTAGCAAGGTTTTAATGAAAAAAAAAATATGACATCTCTAATTTGTTCAATCTTTATTACCTGAGCACTGGTCTTGTACGTTTTTTTTAGTTGAATTCTTAGATGTGTACATATATATATATATTATTTATATATATTTCAAATATATGTTTACAACTAAATTAATTAATTACCTTAAATTTTCCATATATATGTACCCCTTCTTTTTCACAAAGTGTTTAGACATCAGTCAGTTTACACAGATGTGAAGCTTTTATTTGTTCTATGCATATTTCTCTTTTTTTATTTCTATTCTTCTTCTTCTTTGGCATTCACTCTTAAAAGACTGCTGGCACATTCTGTTGTGGTTTACTGCAAATATGATTTCAGCAAATCCCTTCAAAAGATTAAATGCAACATAATCTTCATGTGGGTGGGTGGGGGTGGGGGTGGGGGGGGGGGAAGACCTGCTGCCTCTTTAACAAGCATGTCATATAAAGTGACTAATTAGGAATGGATCGCAACCGCTTGTGAGGTAAGGAATCAACAGTCAAATAAGCCAGATCTGTAAAACAGATGTGCAAGCAAATCACAAGTTCTTAAACAAGACCAAAGCCTAGAAGTGGACAAACAACCAGAATTTTCCAACTTGTTTACAGCTGGTGAATGTCAAGAAAATGAAATAAAAAAGAAAAACACAGCATTACAACATAAAACGTGACTAGAAAAAATCAAGGGGGGTAAAGGAAAAACTCGCACAAATACAACTGAACATTTCGACCGGTCTTTATCAACGAAGCACTAAATACAGCACAAACTGTGACCAGAAAACTCAAAGGACAAGACAACATTGCTTTTAAACAACCAAGGTCAACATATTAGGGGCCAGCGAATCTGGTCTCTTCCAGGTCTTAAGAAACTTGGTATTCGTCCTATTTACAGAGGAAGGTATCCTACTTCAGTGGTTAACACGCTTTAATGTCAACCAGGTGTTCAAATGCTGGAATCCATCTTGAGCAGTCATTTTCCCATTGACTGGGTTCACAGGTAAGCCCAGCCTAAAATGAACACTAGGAAATTTTTGTGAAGTAAAGGCAGTTGATATTGACCACATCACTAACTGAGTAGTGAGCTCCTGACAACACATGGTAGTAATTACATCAAGATTATTTGTACTGTTTCCATTATTCTGATCAATGTTTTTAATCCACCAGTAAACAAAGAAGCTTCCAGAAACTTACCTGGGTGTCATGGGTATAACTTTATAAGTTTTTAAATGAAGTTTCCTCCGTCGACAGGCTGGGTCAGAGTTCATCACTTTGTTCATGATAAAAAACAGAGTTTCAATTCGTTGATCAAGTCTCAAATCTTCTCCACTCTTTACCAGATAAGGATATTCTTTTTCGTCATTTCCTCTTATCATGATACGTTTGGGCTTTCTCATTGAAGACATGACCAAAACCTGGAATGGCATAACAAGTTAAATAAAATAAAAAATTTTAAATCCATTAAATAAAATGTGCTCATTATATAAGTAAATTAGAACAGCTGAATGGTTATAGACCACTAGCAGACCAAGACAACAGTGGAGAGAGGGGCAGACCTACAAACACTTGGTGTCACCAAGTGAAAAAAGAAGACCAACCAACCAGAGAAATGAATAGAGGTGGATGATATCTGCAGCAATGAACCTCAAGGGCTCAGAATGTTGAAGAAGACAGTAAGTAAATTCATCCAAATGATAATAAAATAAAACACCCCCAAAAAAATGTTCCTCAGAAAAGAGCTTAAAATAAAAGTATTTTCTAACAACATACCCCGTAACCCCGAGAAAATGCTAAAACCGATATTTCCAGCTGGGTCCAATTCCAATGTCACTTTTCTGACTTGAGAGATGCATATGTAGTTAATGTTATTGGCTGTGTTTGCACCTGTGCAACTGTTTAGGAAGTCAGAATATGAATATAAGCTTTAACAAAAAAGTTAATGGTAATTTTTCACATAAGCCTTAATGACAGAGGTCACTGGCATGTCACCTGATACATATTGTTACTTAATCCCTGGGGATTTTATTCTGTTTAACTCTTCATTCTGTTTATGTTTATTGATACCTTCCTTTATATAACTTTATATGTTTGGGGGTGGGGGGGGGGGGGGACTTGTACTGTGACCTGTGTAAAATTTTGAATTTTATAAAGGATTTTTTTTTCTTAGGAATTCTAAAAGGGTCATGATACATTTTTTTAGTGTTATTGACAAGGTTACACATTTAAAAAAAAAAACTTTTAACAGGGTAATTTGTCAGTTTCATGATATACAAAGAGTTAACTACTCAAACTGTTTCACTGCTTATTAGTTTTATTTCAATTAATTTATGAAATTCAAACTTTCAACTATAAGTCTGAATATTTGGGCAATCACTAGAAAAAAAAAATAGTTTTGCCTACTGACGCTGCTCTGAGACATAATTAGACTCACTCTATAAGCTGGTGAATTCCATGCACCTTGCTGCACTAGACATATGATGCTATCTCAATATGTTTACAGACCAAGTGGCACTTGTGATGTGACCAGTTACTTTTCTAAAAAAACACACAAAACTCAAGATCTTCAATTCTTGTATGATTCCAGTACTAACCTATGGATGCGAGAGCTGGAAATCAACTAAAACTCTAGACACAAAATTAGACAGTTTTGAAAATAAATGCCTTAGAAGAATACTAAATTTCAAATGGTCAGATTTCGGAACAATACACAAATAAGGCAAGAATCCAGGCAAGAGTATGTGTCTAATTTTATACGAAAACACCGCTGGAACTATGTCGGCCACGCCCTTAGAATGGATAAATCAAGACTTCCTTACCAAGCCCTCATTTGGACACCACAGGGGAAAAGATCTAGTGGAAGACCAAGGGAAACCCTACGTAGAACTATCATCAGGGAAGGCTCGCTCATGGGCCACTCAAACTTCCAAGACCTACAACAGATTGCAACGAACCGCCATGCATGGAGAGTCATGACCTCTGCCCTATGTGCCACACTCGACACAAGAGGAAAGACTAACTAACTAACTTTTCTAAAATATTTCCTGGTAGTCATTTTTTTAGGCTGGGTTGAACTGGGAACCTAGGTGATTTTAAAAATTGTGCCTGTCTTAAAAGATTCTCTGTCAACGGAAATGAAAAATTTACAAATTTAAGAAAAAAAAACAAAAAAAACCAAACAGAACAGTTACTAACCCTTTCATCAAAACCTGCAATTTTAACATGGTACTCTGGAAGTGGCTTCTTGATTCCATCGTACTGGCCTGTTTAGAAAAAAGAAGAATATGTAACTAATATTACTGTTACAATTAATTTAACCAGGCTTGTTGTAATACTATGCAGTGTTATGAGAGGACATGGAGGACTGAATGACCAGGTCTCTTTCTTTCTTTCAATTCTAGCCTCTACTAGGATTGGTCAATTTCAGAATTGCATACAATCACCCCAAAAATCTCCTCCCTTTGCATACAATCAACAACAAAATCTCCTCCCTTTGCATACAATCAACAACAAAATCTCCTCCCTTTGCATACAATCAACAACAAAATCTCCTCCCTTTGCATACAATCAACAACAAAATCTCCTCCCTTTGCATACAATCAACAACAAAATCTCCTCCCTTTGCATACAATCAACAAAAAAATCTCCTCCCTTTGCATACAATCAAAAACAATCTCCTCCCTTTGCATACAATCAGAAACAATCTCCTCCCTTTGCATACAATCAGAAACTATCTCCTCCCTTTGCATACAATCAGAAACTATCTCCTCCCTTTGCATACAATCAGAAACAATCTACTCCCTTTGCATACAATCAGAAACTATCTCCTCCCTTTGCATACAATCAGAAACAATCTCCTCCCTTTGCATACAATCAGAAACTATCTCCTCCCTTTGCATACAATCAGAAACTATCTCCATCCCTTTGCATACAATCAGAAACTATCTCCATCCCTTTGCATACAATCAGAAACAATCTCCTCCCTTTGCATACAATCATAAACAATCTACTCCCTTTGCATTCAATCACACACAATCTCCTCCCTTTTTAATATCATCAGACACAATCTCCTCCCTTTGCATTCAATCAGAAACAATCTCCTCCCTTTGCATACAATCAGAAACAATCTCCTCCCTTTGCATACAATCATAAACAATCTACTCCCTTTGCATACAATCAGAAACAATCTACTCCCTTTGCATACAATCAGAAACAATCTACTCCCTTTGCATACAATCAGAAACAATCTCCTCTCTTTGATTACAATCAGAAACAATCTACTCCCTTTGCATTCAATCAGAAACAATCTACTCCCTTTGCATACAATCAGAAACAATCTCCTCTCTTTGATTACAATCAGAAACAATCTACTCCCTTTGCATTCAATCAGAAACAATCTACTCCCTTTGCATTCAATCAGAAACAATCTACTCCCTTTGCATACAATCAGAAACAATCTCCTCCCTGTGGGTTCGGGGCCACAATTGGGGGGGGGGGGGGGGGAGGAGATAGACCCATTGTTTTCCTAACTGGCATATCATAAGGGTTGTTTCTTCGGGGTGCATCTGCCTGAGAAGTGAGCAACCAACAGCACACAAAGAAGCTAGATCTATAAAACGAATGTGCATGCAAAACTCAAGTTTTTGAACAAGACCAAAGTTCAGAAGTGGACAAAAAAATCAGAGCTTTCTGAGTTTTGCAGACTAGAACTAAATGAATACTGTTTAAGTTTGGACAGAATCTTGATTTGCCTTTAGACCTACAGCTACTTAGAATCTTGATTTGCCTTTAGACCTACAGCTAGGTCGACAAAATCGAAATCTGCATTTAGATCTTAATTTAGATGGACAGAATCTTGATTTTCCCTTTTAGACCTACAGATAGGTGGACAGAATATTGATTTGCCTTTAGACCTACAGATAGGTGGACAGAATATTGATTTGCCTTCAGACCTACAGATAGGTGGACAGAATCTTGATTTGCATTTAGACCTACAGTTACTTAGAATCTTGATTTGCCTTTAGACCTACAGCTAGGTCGACAAAATCGAAATCTGCATTTAGATCTTAATTTAGATGGACAGAATCTTGATTTTCCCTTTTAGACCTACAGATAGGTGGACAGAATATTGATTTGCCTTTAGACCTACAGATAGGTGGACAGAATCTTGATTTGCCTTTAGACCTACAGTTACTTACTTAGACAGAATCTTGGTTTGCCTTTAGGTCGATGAAATTGAGATCTGCATTTAGATCATTTAGATGGATAGAATCTTGATTTTCCCTTTAGACCTACAGATAGGTGGACAGAATATTGATTTGCCTTTAGACCTACAACTATGTGGACAGGCCTTGATTTGCCTTTAAACTTACAAAAAAAAAAAAAAAAAAAAAGTAAAGATCCCTTTTCATGCCTTTCGGCACATCGGGCATATGGGCAGAGCGTCCCATATTTTTACAGACCATCAGCACTCTGTGGGTAATGTGGTCAGCATTACGCCGGCTGTCTTTACTTTCCCAGGACAGCCCATCCTGGTACCCATTTTAGGCTGTTTTTATTTGCCTTTAGACCTACAACTATGTGGACAGAAATTGATTTGCTCTTAGAACTATAACTAGGTGGACAGAATCTTGACTTGCCTTTAGACCTACAACTAGCTGCACAGAATCTTGACTCACTCTTAGACCTATAGTTAAGTAGACAGAATCCTGATCTGCCTTGGGACTGCTTCATCTACATCAAATCCAGCATTCATACATCAAGACTGAAATATATAGAAATGGCTGGCAGAACTTCACCTGGTATTTCCAAGTCCCTGCCATTTTTGTCTGGGTTAAATGCTGCCAGCCAAGGGCAATAGTCCTTCAGTTTGACAGGGGCAATGAGTTTCTTGCTGGCCATGTCCAATAGTTTCTTCGTCTTTCCTTGTGCAGCTTGGAAGTCCTGTAAGGAAATAAACTATCTGTCAAAAATATAAATGGAAGATACAGAACACCCGGCAAATGTTCTCAATTTTTCCCTTAAAATTTTTCATTCGAGAGGATGGTTTTAATTTTTCTTCTTTTTCTTTCTTCTTCTTCCTCTTCTTCTTCTTTTTTTTCTTCACCGGCTACAAACTCTGGCAGAAACTTTGGGTTGCTCATCCACATCTGGACTTTAGTCTTGTTCTAGAGCTTGAGTTTTGTGTGCACATCTAGTTTACAGATCTGGCTTATTTGTAAACAGACTGTTGGTTCATTGCCTCTCAGGCAAATGCACTTTAAAAAAAACATCCCTAATAAGTCCGTTTTTTTTTAGTCAGGAGGGGGGGGGGGGAGGGCAGTGTTGCTAGCTAGCTGCCTTCTGAGAGTGCCGCACAAAGCATGACTTCTGCAGCTCCAGCAATGATCTCCAGAGATTTCAGTTTAACAAAAAAAAAATTACACCTGTATAATGCTTCCATCACTTTTACAGTGCAAAGCAGGCAGCGTAACCATGGATAAGAAAGACCCCCCCAGTGCAACACTTTCATATACTGATCTGTATTCAGCTGTATTAAAAAAACACATCTAAAAAAAAATAAGGTTCACATTTCTATGGCTCCTGGCCCTATGACAATAGCCCCATATTACTATAGACTATGAATCTTCTCCTAAAGATGTCTCCACCTTGCCGCAGTGGGGCAGCCTGTGTTTCTCAATGACTCTCGAGAGCTATGCCGGCAGTAGCATAGCTACTAGCAGGGCATCCTGAGCCAGAAAGGTCGAAAGGTAGAGAACAGACAAAGAGAAATGCCCTGGTCCTCCAGGATGGGGGTTGTAATGTGGGGCTGATACTTCCATCTTCAAAAAACTTCATTTCATCATGAAACAGATATCTAAGGCAGATCAAGAAGACAATGAAGAGATAATGTCCAGACAGACCTGCAAACACTTGGTGTCACCAACTGGAAAGAGAAGGCCAACCAGAGAGATGAGTGGAGGCGGTGATATCTGCAGCAATGAACCTCAAGGGCTTGAAAGGCTGAAGAAGAAGAAGATGAGTTATGAGTTCACACAAAAAAGGGATTGGGGGGGGGGGGTGGGGGAGGGGGATCCTCATCTGCTTGTGACAGCATGCTGTAAAAGGTGACCAATTATAGGATTGCTGAAGTCAGATGCGTTGGGCCGAAAGACATAGATATAGCAGCCTAGCTGTAAACCACATCACAGCAACACAATGTACCAGCCAACTGTCCTGAATGAAGAAGAAGAGGAAGGCATGGGAATCCAAGCTAATTCTCAATTTCACATTGAAGGGGAATTGAAACTATGACTACTGGGCTGGCAGACAGGAATGCTAGCCATTGCACTACTGTGGTTCCCTAACCATGGAGTGCCTGATTGTGGGGACACGACAGCATCGTAACAGCAAAGACGGTATTTAAACATTTATAAACTTTACCTTCTTATTCATGCTTGCCAACTTTTCTCCATTTTTCCCACACAGTTTGTCAAATTCTTCTTTGAATGCCTGTAAATTATCAATGCAGAATCTAGCACAATGTTCTTCCTGTGTCAGTACTATTGTAAATTTATTACACATACATGAGTATACATCATTTACAAGTGAGCTGTCGCAGTGAAAATTTATAATTTAATTTTCTAAGTTCAAAGGTAAATGCCCCTTTCCAGTGCAAGAAATAAGCGTCTGCAGCAGAATCATTGTTTGAGTATGCACTTAAAAAGAATCTATCAGAAAAAAAGAAACAATAAATGCAAGAATATGAATACTGTGTTATAGGAACCACTGTCTGGGGCAGTTGAGTTGGAGAAAGGCCTGCTCTGTGCAGAATAACAAGCATTGCTTCAGAGGTCCCTGGTAGTTAACGTCCTTTGGATCTTTCTCTAGGGTTTGGTGTGTTAGGAAACAAACAGGCAGACATTTTGGTTGGTGCTCTACCAATTGCACCAAACTGTTACTAATACCAGCAGAACTAGAACTCTTTAATGGCTGCCAAAGATGAGGTTACAGCCTCTTCTTCTTAGTCTTCTAGTCATCTTAAAGTCTGTGCCATGTGGCGTTAGTAGTCATGTCTATCCAAAACCTTCTGTCTTGTCTGTTTTCAATTGATTCTGACACAGATGATTTTTCCATGCCATGATTTCAAACTTTCTAGCATTTTTCTCTCTCAGTCTGCCTATACCTCTTTTCCCCTGCAACTTTGGCATCATCACAAGTACTCCAGTTCTCTTCTTTTCATGGCCTGAAGTGACCAAAGAATTAAGAATGTCTCCTTCTGATGTGGGCAATCCGTTCTCTTCGTAAGTCAGTTTCTTTCTAGTCTTTTTATCTGTTCGGAGTACTCTAATCATTCGACTATAAAACCAAATCGCCACTAATATTCCTTATGGGCAGATGGGGTGAAACAGTAACTAAGACATCATCAAATCAGTGCAACAACTGAAGAGGAACCACTTGTTGTTGACAGAAATGTAGTAAATATCTCTCATGTTGCCAAAAGAAAGACAAATGTCAAATTTACACAGTGAAAACTGAACTCACTTCAGCAAACCTTTTCCTGTAGTCCCCCATGTCGACAGAAGCAGATGTAGAATTAACATTGGTTTGTGTTCCTTGTGCATCACTCACTGCAGGCTTGACATTGAAAAGATCATTGTAAATTTCTGTATATTTCCTCATGATTTCATTCTTGGACCTAGTCGCAGCGGAGAGTAGTTTCATCACATCAGAGCACCAATCCTAGCAAATATGTAAATATAAAAAAGTTAAAATAGTAAGAAATAAATTGATCAAACACAAAATGTAAACCAAAGCATAAGTGCCATCCCAGAAGCATGAAACCCACCATTTTGTTTAGCTAATGAGTGGTGCATGATTACGTATGCAACAGTGAAGACACAGCAAACACTAAATTCTAGTTAACTCTGGGAAATGCCATATAGGAATGTTGAACTAATAAGACCAGTTTTGGGGGGATCAGTGTTTAATTTCTGTGCATCTACTCAGGTGGTATAAATTGTTCCAAATTGGCACTGGAATCTTCTTATTTTTCTTGTTCACCGGCTGTGAATTCAGGAAGAAAGTCCTGAATGTTCGTCCATTTGGACTTCTGGTTTTGTACCAGGACCTGAGTTTTGTGTGATCAACCATTTAACTAGCTTATCTGGGTGCAGTGCTTGTTCTCTTTCCACTCGTCATGGGCTGCACCCTCTGGAGATCTGCAGGAAACAGCGGTGACAATGACGCTGAGGGTTGACAGGTTGCATGTAGACAGGATTTTACCACAAGAAATCACCCACAGGGGATGTTACTAGCCTAAGCTACGAGTAAATCTCTTCTTGGTCAAGGGCTGTCTCAGCAGTATAGTTTTGTTTTAATCGACAGACTTTTAACCGAGGGTTGTAATTTAGTGGTACATTCAGCAAGTAGACCTTACTCATGTTAGAATTGAGTTTTGACAGACGTTTTCACCCAGGCTGGACACTGCATCTCTGGGGGCCACCAACTCAGAGATTCCCTGCCAGCTCTGTTAACGCTCATTTGAGACACTATCCGTAGCACACGACAGTAGTAGTAGTCTTGCATGAGTTTCCCTAAAACCAGCACAGAGACGGCTGGCACCCTAGACAAGTTACTATCGCCTTATAAAAATCCCAACGGACTTAACTTTCCCCCATGCCTGTGATCAAAATCCCTGTGCCACGCATTGGAATAACTGAAGAGAGAAGATGAGCCAGGATGGATGACCAATTTCTGTTCATAACGACGTACTCATCAAAGTTTTAGAATGGATACATGAAGATCAATGTCTGACTATGGATTTGATGACACCCACAAGACGATACACAAAATTTTAGTTGAAGATATGGATTTTTAAAAAAATAGCTTGCTTCCCAGTTAGTAAAATTATGTTTGTCTGATGACTAAAAACTATTCAGTCATTTCTTTAAAAACAAAATCAGGTTTATTATTTATTAACCAGATGCAGTATGTAACTTGCTTCTTAGGTACTAGCACAGTACTTCAGTAAGAGCTGGTATAGACAGGCAGTGAGGTTTGGCTTTGTAAGCCAAAATACCAGAAGCTCAGACAGTGAGTACTTGTATTCTAAAATAACTGGCACAATACCTTGAAGATCAGATCAGGCTGGCCAAACTGCTCCAATGCAGAGATGAATTTATTCACTAAAACTTTATCAGTCTTTTGATTTAGCCTGGAAAAGATGAGAACAATGAGATTTTTGTTTAATGCCATCAATTTTTATTAGTTTAGTTTATTGAATGCAACAAATAACCCCAAGTAAATCACTTTTACTCATTATTCACATTTTCAATGACTGGTGATCAAGAATGTTAGAGGCACAGTAAAAATCCTGTTTTAATGATCGTAAACTGTGTATGGTGCTCTCTTGATTACACAGAGGTTTAACCAGCTTACTTTGTTCTATTTCAAGCGCTTGGTTTCTGACCTACTGCTCCACGATTACAGGGAAGTAATTCTCAGGTTCTTTATTATATTATTTTATTAAACAACATTTTGTCATTCCTTTTTTTTTTCCCTCTTTTCAGTCAGTTTCTTTCAGCATAATGTCTAGCAAACATTTCTTAGTTGACAGCCGTGTCTTTAAATGATGCTGAGTTTATATCATATCTATCATTATAAAGGAAGGAGCTTGTTCTATTTCTAGGTGCATGTGAGTGACAGATGCGGCTGCCTCCAGATATAGCAATTAACTGTGAATGCACAGAATAAGTCAGTCTGGATCAGTCTTAGTCTAGGTCGAGGTTTCCTCATACTTGCTCCGTTCCTGTGCCAGTGAAAATCAAATGAAATGTCCCTCACTGCCCCAATTGAAAAACTGGTGAACAAACAATTCTCTCTCTCTCTCTCTCAAAAAGTAGTTAATTCAGGCAGTAATGGCAGTTTATACACAACATCTTCATCCTGCTGTTTTAAGTCTGCATGTTTCTTTTTAAAAAGGCTTGTTAAGTTAATCTATTATATGTATAAACCATGTTTCTTCTACCGCTCTAATTTCAACATCAAACTGTGACGTTACAGAAACTCCACTATTATAATGCCAATAATGATTCTTCCTGTGTTTTGACCAAGTAAAGAAAATGAAAGTCTGGGTAAGACAATGGGGATAACAAGAAAATACATTCTTACTTGTCCACTAATTTTCTGTTCTCTTGTAGCGATGGTGAAGATTCAAACTGGAAACCTTCAGAGCTCATCCGGAAAGCATAGATTAGTGCCTGAAGGAAAAACAAAGAAAATAATTTTTTTTTTAAAATCTTAATATTGACATCAATGCAAGTTTTTGTAGCAATCCTATTTTGCCCTTAAATGGATGGTTGGTATGTTGTGTTGTTTACAGCTAGGCTGTGATATCTGTGCCTTTCAGCCCAGCACATCAGATTTCAGCAAACCGTAATTAATTGCCCTTTATGAAATGCTTGTTAAGGGCAGTGGGTCTATTTCCCCCCTTCCCCCCAAAATGGGGCCAGCGATAGCGACTCTGCCCCCCCCCCACCGCCCAAAATGGAGCCCAGGGATAGTGAGTCTATCCCTCCTCCTTCAGCCTCCTAAAACGGAGCCCTGGGATAGTGGGTCTATCCCTCCTCCCTCTGCCTCTCAAAATGGGGCCACGGATAGTGGGTCTATCCCCCCATCCCCCTCCTTTTGCCAGCATCCTGAAATGGGGCCCCAGAATCCACAGTGGGAGTGTGGGAATCACTGACCATTATATGTCTTGCAGATGGCAATAATGCATATTTATATATAGATATATTAAGGTTAGTTGCGAATCCTTTACAGGACGTTGCCTCTGGCTGTTGTGTGGTTTTTCTAGGCAAATTTACGTCCAGTAGTTTGCCATTGCTTTCTGGACGGTCAGCTTTCTTGATATCACTGTCAAAACCAACGTAAAGCGCATGGCCCGCAGCTGGGATCGAACTCGGCATCCCGGCATTACGAAACGTTCGCACCGACTAAGCCACAGAGCCGACATATAGATATTTAGATAAATATATTATTTTAATTTTAATTTTTTGTTGTTGCAAAATTCAACAACATGTATCAATTTGTGTGCAGCCACCTTTCCCTGTCATGTTTAAATATTTTCTGTTTTTAATTTTTACACCTTTCTAGTTATGAAAATATACGCACATTGTTCCCTTCTCATAATGTGAACAAAAAGATAACTGCCTCATTTGTATGTTTGTGATATGTTGATTTTGTCTTAGCCTCTTTCAAAGCATATAGTTTACTCACTTTGGTTATATAAGGTCATTTAAGCTCTCTTTTGCTAAATCATATATGTGTGTTTTTAATTATTGTGTGTGTGTGTGTGCGTGGGTGCTTGCGTGCATGCATTTGTGTGTGTGTGTGTATGAGTGTGTGTGTATGCGTATGTGTGTGCATGCGCCTGTTAACTAACTGTCTATAATTAACATATATATATATGATGAAATAAGATTTTATGTCTTCTTATTTTTTTAGTGTTCACCAGCTTTAAAGTCTTGGGGAAAGTTATGGCTGTTCGTCCACTTTGTTCCAGAACCTGAGTTTTGCATGAACATCTATTTACAGATCTAGCTTATTTGTATGCAGACTCTTGGTTTCTTGCCTTTTTCAGGCAGACACACTCCTACATTTTATTGGAAACATCCCTAATTAGTTGCTTTTTTACAACAAGCTTTTAGGGAAGTAAACATCTGTGGCTCAGATGTTTCGAACAAGCTTTGTAATGCCAGGGTGCCAGATTCAATCCCAGCTGCGGATGGCTTGTCTTGCGTTGGTTACCATTAATGTTTTGCCAATGAATTTATATTTTTAAATACCCCATATGAATATTAAAAGACGGTGATGGAAGGTGCAGTTTGTGGAAGGTGAGGGAGGGGTTGACCTCTATGACGATGGATACAGGACACTGAAGATGTATTGGCATTGAAAGCACATGGGGCTGGAGAGCTGGCTAGGGAAAGGGATACTTTCAGGCATGCCGTGACGAGAGCAACGTTCTGTAGAGGACTTGCTAACTGATGATGATGATGATATAAATACTAAACATTTCAAAATTTGTTTAATTGTTCCCACCTGAGGATAGTCATCTGCTATTCGCAGCATCAACGGTCCAACAACGACCATTTCCTTCTTGTCTAACAAGGCAGTCATCTGGCTGACCCACATCAGGAACATCCAGCTGGGAATCTCTGCAGCCTATGGACAAATCAACATTCCTGACTCACTCAGTTATCAAACAATCACTGAAAATAGCACCCCCAATACATGTAACATTCCAAACAATTATTTCAATCTATATTTATCAAACTTGAGAAGAATGCGAAGAATGTCATGAAATGATAGAAGAACAAACAAGGTAGTTCCCCCTGGAGACAAAGGAAACATGTACACAGATTAGAGACATTAACCCTCTTAGCACGGACGGGGCGATTATCGGCCGGCGGATGTCTGGCCAAAAACACGGAACGGCGATTATCGGCCCGATCGTGTTTCGCCTCGAACCGTTAAGAAATCTCCTATTTTGAAACACTGAAAGTGATTCATTTATATTCACTGCTGTATTAGCTTTCCACATGGCGACTTTCGAGTGTTTGGTATCGAAGTGAAAATTGTTGTTGAATTTTTTAGATAGTGACCGGAACCGCTAAAAATATGTCTGACTCTATGTTTCTGCCCCTAAACTTGATGTTGATAAAACATTTGAATCAAGTGATGACACTAATTCTGTTGATACTGATGCAGGATCTAGTGTTAGTAGTAATAGTGGGGAATCAGATGGGGACGCTGTTGTGTTCAGAACACATAGCAACCATGGCTCAGGGTATATCCACTCGAAGGTGTTGACACTCCGGCACATCCATTTCTTGTGTTGACTGATGGTCAAAAACACATGTCACCTAAAGATATTATTGCTGTTTCATATATATATATATACCTGTTTTTGACTATTGAATTGCTTACAACATTTATAAAAAGGATCAATAAAAAGATTTTTAAAAAAATATATTTTTGTTTTTAGTTATATGTTTCATGCATTGAAGCTGAAAATTCATTTTCTAATTTTTTATTTTTGGATATGCAAATGAGATAATTTGCATATACATCAATTAATTTTAACGATATTGTAAAAATCATGAACTTCAATCTATATCCTTCAAATAGATATATTATTTCATGGGGGTCAGAATAACAGAAATATGTCAAAAAAATTAAATAAAGTAATAACTAAATTTACTGAAAAAATGTTTTTGGCTAGACATCTGAAAAACTTTCCATGCTAAAAGGGTTAAACACAGACAGTCATTGTTTTTTTTTTTTTTTTTTAAACATGTTATGAAAAGAAATGGACTCCAGAATCTGATAATATTTATCAAGACTGATGGGAAAAAGATCAAAGGGAAGACAAGAAGGTAAATCCCGGGATGGTTTGGCCATATGGATGAGCTGGCAAGGCAAGAACACTGACCTGATCCATGATTCTGGTGATTTGATGTGAGATGGTGAAACAAGACAGCCCACACTTATCGACAGGGCACATGATGATACTGATGAACACACATTTGTGTTTTCAACTTTTTCAGGCTCACATTTTTCTAGGGTTTGGACAGAATTAATTTTGAGCAGAATTTTTTTTTTTACTGCAACATGAAAAAGCTAAAACCTTTCTGAAGATAAAAAATGATTGGCCGTATAGGGGCATACAGTATATCAAATTAAAGATAAATGAGTGCAGAATAAATCTAAACTATTTGAGTGTCAGTATTACAACAAGGATAACATTCAAGAATGTTAGATACATATGAAGAAGACTACACACAAAATGTTGTGCTTACTTTATTTTTTTACTTGTCCAACAACACTGCTATCAATTTCTAATAATTCACATGCCTTCTCTATTCAGTTATGTATCAGCAGCTTGTATTTATTTGAAACAATTATTTTCAATACTTTAGATGTAATGACATTTTCGTATGACATGTCAGATTTCACAACTACTAAATTCAGGAAAACATCTTATCTAAAATGAGATGATCCAACTGAAATATTTTGTTCAAAACTTCATCCTAACCTTTGTTGTCGGCAAAGGTTTGTCACTTGCATTATTAATCACAATGAAATATTTTGTTCAAAACTGCATCCTAACCTTTGTTGTTGGCAAAGGTTTGTCACTTGCATTATTAATCACAATGAAATATTTTGTTCAAAACTTCATCCTAACCTTTGTTGTCGGCAAAGGTTTGTCACTTGCATTATTAATCACAATGAAATATTTTGTTCAAAACTGCATCCTAACCTTTGTTGTTGGCAAAGGTTTGTCACTTGCATTATTAATCACAATGAAATATTTTTGTTCAAAACTTCATCCTAACCTTTGTTGTCGGCAAAGGTTTGTCACTTGCATTATTAATCACAATGAAATATTTTGTTCAAAACTGCATCCTAACCTTTGTTGTTGGCAAAGGTTTGTCACTTGCATTATTAATCACAATGAAATATTTTGTTCAAAACTTCATCCTAACCTTTGTTGTCGGCAAAGGTTTGTCACTTGCATTATTAATCACATTATTAATCACTGATGAAATATTTTGTTCAAAACTTCATCCTAACCTTTGTTGTCGGCAAAGGTTTGTCACTTGCATTATTAATCACAATGAAATATTTTGTTCAAAACTTCATCCTAACCTTTGTTGTCGGCAAAGGTTTGTCACTTGCATTATTAATCACAATATCTGGACTACTGCTACTAACTGGCTGAGATTCATGAACAACAGACCAGTATAATCAGTTCTAGACCTTTTCCCTTATCATTTGGTCTGGAAAAATCACACAAAAATTGTAGTTCAATTTAAAACAAATCAGAAAGTAATACAAACACAATGCCAAACTTCAAGAGTGAAAGGACTTTGTTTTGCTAATTGTAGTTTTTTTTTTAGACATGTTCATACAAATTCGTTTTCCCAGTAAACAAAACAATAATGGAGTGTCTCTAAGAGGAGCCATAATAGTCATTAATAGTCAAAACGAGATGATTCAAAAGCCCTGAAGTGGCGACCAGTCCGTAAAGAGTTAAAAAGTAAAGGGTCCTATTTTACACCCCGTCATATTTGGTACACGGCGCCAACCTCATATCGTTTTAAACTGATGGACACGCTATGCCACGAGCCAGTGCAGTTAAATACAAACTGACACTATTATTAAGACATCCCAACATAAGTATCAGCACCAAGAAACAGATTATAAACAGCACATTCACACCAACACCGTGCTACCATTGCCAGACTCGGACATTATCAAAGGTTAATCTATGTAAAAATTAACACCTGTAAAATCACATGCTGAGAGAAGCCATCAACTTAACTATCCGAAACAAAGTTAGAAATAATATTATCAGACTGTAGGAACAACACCAGGCAGCAAATGCATTAACAAAAAGATCAAATGGTTTGGTCATCTAGAGAATGCAGCCAGAATAACTACAAATGCAGGTGCTACACATGAAAAGATCTAAAGAGAAAGCAAGAGGCAGCCCTAGGACAACATGGATTGATGACATTAAAGAGCTTATGTATTTACACAGAATGACAATATCCATTGCTGAAGTGGAAATTGATGACGATGATAAACCGAAACACAAGGGTAATGTTCCCACCAAAATATTTCCCAGTATCTTTTTTAGCCTAGGTTGACCTAGATAGGCACAGCAAATTTCACAACTATGTGCCACCATGAGAAAACAATACAAACAGGAGGAAAGATAATATCAGAGAATAGAAACTACAAATGTGTCTATGGGTGAGGCAACCAGAAGAACAAGAAGCAGATTCTTTATCTCCCTCGACACCTCAAGTGGTAAAAGAGAAAGTGAAGAAGAAGAACACTTAACATGTAATTAATTAACGACCCCTATTCACATCCTATTATATGTCAAACAACTTCTTGTTGTTGTTGTTGTTGTTGCTGTTGTTGTTGTTGTTGCTGCAATATACTAAAGCAATTACTGACCATTTTGTTGAAAACACCAATGACTTCTGGGTAGAGTTCAGCAATTTGCAAGAGGCGAGGAAACCTCTCTCTGGCTTCAGTTTGTCCTTCTTGCATGGCCTTGAGCAAACAAACGACAACCGTCTGAGGGAACTCCGAAACAATACATGTATCTGGTAGATCAGCTGTAACACAAGCAAAAATATAAACAGCAAGAACTTAACATCCTAAACACAGGTCTCTAATGTTAATTTGAAAGTAGAAACATATCTATCTAATGTTAACTTGTGTCTTCAGATGCTAGTGACTGTTCTTGTAACTATATCTATCTAAAGTTAACTTCTTATGTCTTCAGATGTTAGTGAATGTTCTTATAACTATCTATCTAATGGTAACTTCTTATTCCTTCAAATGTTAGTGACTGTTCTTCTAACCATATCTAATGTTAACTTGATACTATAAACAATTTATCTAATGTTAACTTGTGCCTTCAGATGTTCTTATAATTATATCTATCTAATGTTAACTTCTTATGTCTTCAGATGATAGTGACTGCTCATGCAACTATATCTATCTCAAGTTTACTTATTATATCTTCAGACGTCAGGGACTGTTCTTGCAACTATATCTATCTAATGTTAACTTCTTATGTCTTCAGATGTCAGAGACCATTCTTCTAACCATATCTAATGTTAGCTTGTGTCTTCAGATATCTATATTTGTTCTTACAACCATATCTAATGTTAACTTGTGCATCAGATGTCCGTAACTGTTCTTGTAACCATATCTAATATTAGCTTGTGTCTTCAGATGTCTGTATCTGTTATTACAACCATATCTAATGTTAACTTGTGCATCAGATGTCCGTAACTGTTCTTGTAACCATATCTAATGTTAGCTTGTGTCTTCAGATGTCTGTATCTGTTCTTACAACCATATCTAATGTTAACTTGTGCATCAGATGTCCATAACTGTTCTTGTAACCATATCTAATGTTAGCTTGTGTCTTCAGATGTCTGTATCTGTTCTTACAACCATATCTAATGTTAACTTGTGGCTCAGATGTCCGTAACTGTTCTTGTAACCATATCTAATGTTAGCTTGTGTCTTCAGATGTCTGTAACTGAATTTGCACAGAGATGGATTGAACTAATCAGTCAACAGCAACTGGTGCTCAAACAGCATATGGTGTTGTGGGAAAATAATGAAGATTTCAGGTAGTCTCATACATCAAACTGTCACAGACTGTCCTCTACTCTTTTATCCCTGATGTTCAAAGATTTCCTAGTTCATCAGATAAAAATCACCAGTGAAGGACTTACCATCCTCTTTCAGGTGCAGATATTTGTCACAGAATTTGGCTAGTTCCAGATTGGCCGGTCCTGCAGTCATGACGGCCTTCCTGTGTGAGGCTCTTTCATCAACATCCCAGCCAACCGCTGCTTTCAAAGAGCTAAAGCTCCTGGATACAAGGCAGCCAATCAGCTTTGGTTAAAAAATAAAAACAAAGCAGAATTAAAATACTGACTGGCAAAGCACATGTCATAAGGAAAAAATAACAGCACAAAACTAACAAATCAGAATGAATAGGAGAGGTACACTGAAGACCTTTAGTGAAACATCCAAGGTAAACACAAATAATTTACCTTGCAAAGGCACATTAGATAAGCAGACATTTCCACTGTTGACATATGCATAAACCACAACATGTCTATGTATGTGTTGCATTTAGTCACCAAATGAATGACCTAACATAGTGTCTCTAAAATGCCACAATAATATTAGGTGTACATTACTAATTTTAAATCATCAGCTTTAAAAATCTGGCAATGTACAATCACAGGACACATCAGCATGGAAACAACAAGTCTTTAATAAAAAATAAATATACAGTCTCTTACCTGATTTTTATCATATGTCTTTTGTCCAGCATGATTGGCCAGCTTGGATTGTGTCTCACTGTCAATGGCGGAAAACTCTTTTATGTCTAACAGACCATTAGCCAAAGCATTCAGGCCTCGACCTTTCAACACATGGTGTCTCAAGCCTAGATCTGGCATCTCCCTGAGAACTGGACTGTCTGTTAGTTTATCTAAAAAAGCAGAATGGGGTGGGGGTGGAATTAATAAATATGTATTGCTCTTCTTCTTCTTCTGCCTTGTAACTCCTATTGGAGAATAGGCCTTCAAACATTTTATGACAAATCATCTCATCCTTTGCTAATCAAATGCAGCTCACCCCATATTCTCCCCAACTTTGTTACACCATTCTCTTGTTGTTTTTGGTCTACTTCTGCTCCTTGGACACTTTGGGTTCCAGTGCAAAGACATTCTATTCATATTTTCATCAGGCTTTTTTTTTCTAAAGGTGTCCTATCCAATACCAGTGTCTTTTGAAAAGCCTCCCGATTACTAATATAATCTGTTCAGTTTTCTTTAAAACACTCAACATTAGTGACTTCGTAATATCATAAATTTCCTCTTTTCTGTTCAAAAACCATTCAATGAATGTTTGTAATGTCTATTAGTAACTGTTTTGGTTGTTCTCCATGTTTATATTTTATTCAATGAATTTAATATACAGATCATGCACCCACTCAACCACACAGGTACAATAAGAATTTACAAATATAAAAAAAATAGCTTCTTATGTTGGACAGAATTGAAAATTATATTTCTTTTAAATAGAGAGAAAATGACAAAATATAATGATGTTGCAATAGTGCAAACACTACAAATAAGAAAACCCATTTACAACATAATATATATAGAATATTCTGCAGAAAGTATACACACAGAAAGTATACACACAGAAAGTATACACACAGAAAGTATACACACGCTAGAGGAGACAGGTTTACCAATACCAGCATTAGAGAGAAAGTTGGAGTAAGACCATGTCTGGATTATATTGACAAAGAATAAAATTCTGCCATCTAGTGAGAATGAAGCCAGACCAGACTGCATATGAGACTTTTTACAGTAGAACATCTGGGAGGAAGGAAGAAGAAGTTGAAGAAATAGAAGAAAGAGTTGGATGAATGGTATAGATGAAACCTGCAATAAAATGAACAAATCCATCACTCAAGCTTCCAGAGAAGCTCAAGACAAATACAGAAAACCATGACTCTCGTTTACAACCTGGTAAAAGTGAGACAACAAAACAAGAAGATACAACAACAACAACAACAACAACAACAACAACAACAACAACAAACTGGGCTAAATTTTATTTAGTATGATAATATTTTCATTTTCAAGGTGCGATCTTGAGTCACAGAGTTCGAGACCATCATAACACACCAAACAATTATTAACAACAATGAAAACGTCAACTCAAACATTTGGGGTCACCAAAGGAAAACAGAAGGAATGAAAATCACAGAGATGACTGGAGGCTGGTGATATCTGCAGCAATGATCCTCAAGGACTCGGAATGCTGAATAAGAAGAAAAACAAAAGTCCACGTACCCAGGGTATCCAGCGTAGTCATAACATCACTGAATGTGTTATTCTCCCAAGGGGAAGACGACAGATCGGCTTTACTCTGGTGAACCCGAGCATACAGATGGACCCACTCAACAAAGGACTGCTGGTTTCCCAGATGCCGGCAATTCTGAATTGTAAATAAATAGATTGTTTCAAAAAACAGTAGATGCATTAATTCTTTCATTACCTAGGAACTCACCATATATTCACTGGTTACACTACAAATGGTACATATATGACTTTTTCTATCCAATTCTTTCGTTATGTTAACCTATTATTTTCAGATTGTTATTATCTTCTTCTTCTTTGCCTTCACTAGCTGTAAACTCTGGCGGAAAGTTCTAGCTGTTCGTCCACTTCTGGACTGCAGTCCTGTTTCAGAACCTGAGTGTTGCGTGTGCATACGTTTGACAGATCTGGCTAATTTGTATGCAGACTGTTAGTTCCTTGCCTCTCATGCACTCCGACTTCGAAGGAAGCTCCCAATTAGTTGACTCTTATGACATGCTTTTGGGTAGGCAGTTGGTCTATTCATGTTGTCCCTATAATAGAGCCCCGGAACCCGCACAGGAAATTGTTATTATAACAACTTCTTCCCAAAAGTTGTAAGTTTCAGCTCAATGAGACTAAAAAAACTGTTGCTCTAGGAAACAAAATCTTCAGCATAGAAAGTGTTGATTTTCAACACTATCTGGGACCGAGAGTTAATATTGCCAAACACAAATAGCCATGTTGGAACATTTTGAACTAGCCAGTCATAGTGAACTAAAGTTGACTGAACATTTAAGGAAGATTTTATCACCAACATTTAAGTCATCTAAAGACATTAAATTACCGAATATGAAATTGTCTGGGAGTCCCCGTGGCGGAGTGGCTAGATACCTGCCGTGGAACGGAAGGTCGTGGGTTCGCTCCCTAGAGAAGCCGGACTTTTTTTTAAAAATGACCTTGGCTCCCAGGTCGACCCAGCCTTGAGGGGGTACCGGGTGCAGTCCTGGCGGCCGGCGTGATGCTGACCACATCACCCATCTTATGCCGATTGGTCTATAAAAATATAGGTCTAGCCCTATATGCCCAAAGGCATGGAAAAGGGTCCTTTACTTTTTTTTAAAATGAAATTGTCTGGCTGACACCATGTTTTCTCAGACTGGTCCGGCAATGGAAAGGAGTGATGTCATTAATGCTATGTAAGAGGCACATTGCAAAGATGATTACGGCAATAAGCATGTTTCCTTATTTTTTTTCAAGTTAAATGATATGGGGGGTGCACAATGGGGCTGCCAGACATGAACAGAGGCAGGGGTCGACCACCGCGAAGATGGATACAAGACACTGAAGATGCATTGGCATTGAAAGCACATGGAGCCGGAGAGCTGGCTAGGGAAAGGGATAATTTCAGGTTTGCCGTGAAGAGAGCGACGTTCTGTAAAGGACTTGCTGATTGATGAGAGGCATGAACAACAACATCAAGAAGAAGAGGAGGAGGAGAAGAAGGAAGAGGAGGAGTTGGAAGAGAAAGAGGAGGAGGAAGAAGAATAGGAGGAGGACAAGGAAGAGGAGGAGTTGGAAGAGGAGGAGTTGGAAGAGAAAGAGGAGGAGGAAGAAGAAGAGGAGGAGTAGGAAGAGAAAGAGGAGGAGAAAGAAGAAGAGGAGGAGGAGAAGGAAGAGGAGGAGTTGGAAGAGAAAGAGGAGGAGGAAGAAGAAGAGGAGTTGGAAGAGAAAGAGGAAGAGTTGGAAGATAAAGAGGAGGAGTTGGAAGTAAAAGAGGAGGAGGAAGAAGGATGAGGAGGAGTTGGAAGAGAAAGATGAGGAGGAAGAAGAAGAGGAGGAGGAGTTGGAAGAGAAAGAGGAGGAAGAAGAAGAAGAGGAAGGAGGAGGAGGAAGTTGGAAAGGTGAAGTTAGAGGAAGAGAAGTAGAGGAGGAAAAAATTATTAAATATGCCAAAACACCAGTTTTATTTGCCAACCTTTGTATCCCGGAGAAGCCTGAGAGCTAGAGTAAAGTTGTTCTGCTTCTGGCAGCTATCTGCCATTGCAAGATGCAGCCAGACTTTCATTTCATCAATTGTCTGCACCACTTTGTGACTCTGTGACTGAGAGTCAGAGACTTCTGCAGGATCGATAACCATTTGTTGAAGCTGCTCCAGATACACAGTTCTGAGCAAATATTCATCAAAATATTAACAAATGGGAATCAACACATCAAAGAATCATGGATTAAATAAAACATAAGGATTTACAGGGCTCATGACTTTTCTCTACAAGGGTTTCTAGGGCAAAAGGGTTAGACCGGGGATATAATGACCACCTACCAAAGTTCTCATTAATGGTAGCTTGAGTAGTAGCGCCTACTAAAATTATTTTAAAATATTATTAACCAAATGAATGAATAAATCAATCAATCAAGAACTGATATCACTGGACTTGGGAAATTCCCACATGTGCTCTGTCCCATTCTTCAGCAACCAATGAAGAGCTGACATACTTATGGTACCAGCTGTGATTGCGACTTGATTGAAAGTCCGCCTCTGGTTCCCCTTCAGTGTTTGTTGAATATCTTCCAGATCTTCTACTCACCCCCCCCCCCCCCCCCCCCCCCCTCTCTTCCCCCTTTCCACTGATTTAGTCTTTCAGTGTTTGAATTCCGTATTTGCTCTTTTGCGCTGTCCATTTGATCCCATAGAGCCTTCACTACATACACTTTATCATACAGCAGCTCACCACCCAGAGGAGTGGCAGCAGCTTGCTCGTTATCTCGCACACCTGAAAATCCTGGACAGAAAATCCATGATTTGCTCTTAACCTGGGTCTTATCAAGTGATAAGAAAACAAATACATGCAAATATTTTACCTACAGCATTTTCCAACAAACAAACAGCATGGGGGAAAAGAATGCCTTATGCATCACCAACGTGTAGCAGGTCTTTTGCAAAATGTCACTCTCATCACGGCCTGCCTGGAGAATCAAAAACTCAGTCTCTCACAAGCTCTCCCACCTCGAACACTTTCCTACCCAAGATCTCACGTATATAGCCCTTATAGTGGTGTCCCGAGTGCTGTGGTGTCGATTCTTGATTCAACAATTCAACATTCACTTATATCCTGTACCCATCTCCACACTGGTTGGTCCCTGGTCATCTTTTCTGGTACAATGACTTCTATTATTATTCTCTCCAAAAAAAGGGTGGATGTTGCCGAGAAAAAGGTTTCATCAAAGTGGATGTCGCAGAGACAAAACTTTCATTAGCAAATCAAAAAAACAATAATCTCTAATAATGCAAAGCAATTAGAATCCATCTGTTATTGAGCATGACGAAGCATCATCATCATCAAGAAGCAGGTCCTCTACAGAATGTCGCTCTCATCACAGTCTGCCTGAAAGAAACTCGGTTTCTCACCAGCTCTCCCGACTTGTGCACTTTCATTTTCAAGGAGTCACTTATATCTTCTGTCCATCTTCAGGTTGGTCGGCCCTTGCCCTCCTTCCTGGTACCATTCCTTCTGCTATTATTTCTTCCAATTCACCTTGGCGCTTGATATGATCAAAATATTTCAGCTTCTGAGACAAGATGTTGTTTATTAGTCAATGTTCAGATCTTTTAAAATGTCAGTATTTTGTCCATGGTATTTTGACAATCTTTCTACAGCATTTCAGCTCAAAAGCCTTTTTTTTTCCTTTCTTAACCCTTTTAGCACGGGAAGTTTTTCAGAGGTCTAGCCAAAAACACGGAGCATTTTTTCAGTAAATTTGCTTATTACTTTATTTAATTTTTTTGACAGATTTCTGTTATTCTGACTCCCATGAAATCATATATCTATTTGAAGGATATAGATTGAAGTTGATGATTTTCACAATATCGTTAAAATTAATTGATGTATATGCAAATTATCTCATTTGCATATCTAAAAATATAAAATTTGAATTTGAATTTTCAACTTCAATGCTTGAAACATAAAACTAAAAACAAAATTTTTTTTTATTTGAAATCTTTTTATTGATCTTTGGCCTTTTTGCAAATGTTGTAAACAATTCAATAGTCAAAAACAGGTATATATATATATATGAAACAGCAATAATATCTTTAGGTGACATGTGTTTTTCACCATCAGTCAGCACAAGAAATGGATGTGCCGGAGTGTCAACACCTTCGGGTGCATATACCCTGAGCCATGGTTGGGCTGTGGTCTGAACACAACAGCGTCCCTATCTGATTCCCACTATTACTACTAACACTAAATCCTGCATCAGTATCAACAGAATTAGTGTAATCACTTGATTCAAATGTTTTATCAACATCAAGTTTATGGGCAGAAACATACGAGTCAGACATACTTTTAGCGGTTCAGGTCACTATCTAAAAAATTCAACAAAAATTTTCACTTCAATACAAAACACTCGAAAGTCGCCATTTGTAAAGGCTAATACAGCAGTTAATATGAATGAATCACTTTCAGTGTTTCAAAATAGAAGATTTCTTAGCTGTTCGAGGCGAAACACGATCGGGCCGATCATCGGCCGCTCCGTGTTTTTGGCCAGACATCCGCCGGCCGATAATCGGCCCGTCCGTGCTAAGAGGGTGAAAGACTGGGAGATAGTCCACGACTCACATCCGTATGTTGCTACAGGAAAGATGCATGCTCTCAAAACCTTTCAAGTCAGCATAAATGTAATGTTGGTTCTGTTGTAAATAACAAGTAGAACAAAAAAGAAAGACTTTACCTATTAGTGACAACATCATCCCATATGGGCATAGGATCCAACAGCTGGTGAGGTAATCTCCCACTCCAAAGCTTCATCAGATGAGACAGTCTTGATTGAGACAAATCTTCTGCTCAAAGCAAACATCAGAACAACAAGTCTTCTTATATTCATATAATACATAAACTATGTAAGAGTGTGTTACTGAGAAGAATTTACAGTAGAGATATGCAGATGTACAGACCAGTGAGTGGGGGGGGGGGGGGGCAGCAGAGAAGACAGTGAAAGGGAAGGGAAAAGGGGGGGGGGGGCAGAACTGGTCCATGACATGTTTTTGTCAGAATATGTATTTAATCTATAATTAAATGTGTGTGTTTTCATATTAATTAGACTGTTTAGGGTAAATCTACAAACTGTTGATGACAACCACAAAGTTCCTGGCTTTTTGATTTATAAACAGTTTAAAACATATTTTATTTATAATTAAACTCGTATGGGGGGGGGGGGGGGGGGGGGGGGGGGGGGGGGGGGGGGTTAGCATAACATATTATTACAAGTATCAAAGTTGCTTGCCACACCCCAAGTGGGGCACGCCTCCACAGGTTGGAGACCATTATTATAGAGTACACAGTACATAATAACACAAATCAGCGACTAATATAACACAGTGTAGAGCACCACAAAACAGTATACAGTAGGGCTTTTGAAAGGAGATCCCACTAGCCAAATCTGACCAACAGAGGCCTAACAAGTGGCCCATGGATCGCATGCCAATTGTACTGTATTAATGATCTTTCCATGCTTGGGCTTGACCCTCAGACCTGCAATGATACCGAGTTTCTAACATTTTGGTCAACTCAGTTGAATGGCCCTGGTACAGAGTAATGCAACATTGTATAGAGCTTGGCTATTCAACTGGCAACCTGCGTGCAAAATATGGCCCGTGGAGGCCTAGCAAGCGGCCCGCGGATCATTAACAGTTTTACTGTATCAATGATATGTCTATGCTGTGGGACTCAGGCCTCTGACCCGTGATGACCCAAATTTTCAAAATTGTGGCCCCTGATTAAACTTAGTTGAATAACCATTGTGTAGAGTATTTAAAGACGTTGTAGAGTAACATAATACCAGAAACAGAAATGAACTAACTGTCATGGCCAATGTAATCCAAGAACTCCTGGAGCTCCACTAGAGCCTGTACTTTGTGCAGAGTGTTCCTGCGACAGAACTCCAGCAGTGTTGTGGTACTGCTCCAATCCTGGGGAGAAATCAACAACGATAACATCATATTTTGGCTAAAAATATTCACTAACCTCAAAGGTCACAGAGCTGTACATTAAGTAATGAGAAAGCATCAAAAGCTTCTTCTTCTTATTCTTCTTCTGACTTTTATTCCTCACTGGAGCATAGGCACTCAACCACCAGCTCATGCCAATCATGCTATCATTATCTATTTCATGCAGCTCTGTCCATATTATTCAGGGGTCTCCATGGCAAAGTTGTCAAGGCATGTTCCTCGCACACTGAAGGTTGTGGGTTCATTCCATGGCTGAGCCCTTTAGTTCATGAGTGCAATTTTTACAGAGATCCCTGGGAACCATCACCTGAGCTACTGAGTTTGTGCTCTGCCCAGCGTTGTCGGCAGGCGGCTAGCGGTTCTGTGGAGAGACCGAGCCATGTGGGATAAAACCCAATGCAATAAAGTTGATCCACTTGACTTGAACCCTTAACCTTTATACGTATTATTCATGTGTCTAATCCTCTTCAGTAAGTAAAGTTAAAAAACAAAAACTTTTTTTTTTACAAACACTAGTGGACCATCACACAAATTTTTAAAAAATGAACTGACTGGACCATTTTACAAATCTGGCTCATTTTTATGAAGACTGTTGGTTAGTTGCCTCTTAGGCAGATGCATTCCTGACTTCGAAGGAAACCTCTCTAATTGGTCAACTCTTACCACACGTTTGTTCGAGGACACTGGGTCTATCCCACCCCTTTCCCTAAATCCCTCTTCTCCCCCCCACCCCCCCCCCCCCCCCCCCCCCCCCCCCTTTAAAAAAAAAGCTTTTATTACTTCAGTTGCATTCACTAACTAATGCTAAAGAAAAAATTTTTAAATAAACATGATTATCATGTGGACACAATATTTTCACAATGACATGTTTCCTCAACATATATGGAATTCTTCACTACATTAAACACAAAGCGTGAGTGTAATATGTCAGCCCAATAGCTCATCAGGACACAGTATAAAAATCTAGACAGCCCCCCCCCCCCCCTCCCCCCCCCCAAAAAAAAAAAACTGTACCTTAAAAACAAACAAACAAAGCAAAGTGAATAAAAGCTTATTAAGAAAGAAATTCATCCTTATAATTCTATTGAAACTCCACCCTTGGGAACTAGAGAAAGAGAAGAAATAGAAGAAATGTGGAGTCATAGTCACTTTTTATAAACAGGGGGGTTGAAACCTATGACTACCAAGAAGACAGACATGCCTGCTAGGCCATGGCCACCAAATCAACTTAAAAAAATAAATATTCGATTTTGTGTAATAATTTTAACCTTTATATTAAGAGAAGTAATCACTAAATACAGAGCAAGGAATTTGTTGCTTTCACTTCCTCTTACTTTTAGGAATAAACGTTTGTGTCGACATAACCACATGGAAATAAAATGTCACGAAAGCTTTTAAAAAAATGCCATAGTTCCACCCTAGATAATATCTCGAACCATTTCAGCAAATTTAATTAAACACGACCCATGTATACACTATACAGCTGCAACCAGTACCTAAGCTGTTATATAAGCATAGTTCCCACTGCCTAAACACATCATACTATTTTTTTAAAAACCACAAAACTGACATTTATGGGACAAGAAGGTTAGGAACTGACATCGTAGTAAACCTGGCACACTTACAAATGCTCTGCTCCAACGAAAATGACTTCAAGCTGGGGGAGGGGGGGAGGGGGGGGGGGGGGGGGATTCAGTGCCGACTCCACAATAAATGTTGGCTACAATACATCCCCTGTCTTCAGGAATATTATAAAGGAGGGCCCCAATCTCTTCCACCGTGTGACTATCGTACTAGTAAAAAAACCATAAACCAGTGATTCCCAAACTTTGCACTGCGGCGCCCCGACCTCTTCATCTTATTCTAAGATACACTTGTTTTTTTTTTTAAATCTCTCACATACGAATAGGCATACTTTTATTTAGGTTAGGGCGCAGTGGAAACATTTTAATTGAAAAAAGGTGCCCCGACTAAGACAAGTTTGGGAAACACTACCATAAACCATTTTTTAACTTTTTCAGTCCCAAGAAGTTCATATAAATCTTTATATTCTGCTTAAAAGCTATTAGGTCTGAGGGGGTTCAACTAAAGACACAATGAGACATAGTTAGTTAAATTAATAATCAGATACAAAGGAGGGTTGAAAAAAACTGTCTGTGAAATAAGACAGCTGAAGCATTGGAAATAGCAAATAAACAAAGGATGATTTGTTTGTTGCTGAAAGAGTTAATTAACAAATCATCCACCATGGAAATCAAACCGTAATACTGGAGAATCATGAAACTGTCAAATGCTTGTTCAACTAACCTTTAGGTTAAAGAGCTGCACAAAGTGTAGACAGTATATTTCAAATGCATTTTCAGCATGCAAATAGGTTAGTTAGAGTCACTGCTGATTTGTGAAACAAACATTAACACAATCGAAATATAACAAATTTACCTGTAATAGGCTTTCAAAGGCCAAGCTGGTATAATACCGAGATTTATCATAGTTCTGTTGCCACAAATACATCAAAGCAAGTTCTGTGCTGTAGCGGCTCTAGAGAGAGACACATACATACAAAATAAAATACCAAATGTTTTTTCTTGACATCTTGGGTCTAAAAATAAACATCTCACAAATTTAGGCAAATTCACAGATACCCTGACTTCCACAGCAAACATGCAAGGTATAGATGAAATAACCTCTATAAACATTTAAATCCCCCCCCTCCCCCCCAAAAAAACTGTGGGTCTATTTCCTTTCACTCAGAAGCCACATGGGGAGATCTTATCCAGTAAAAGCATGGAAAGATCACATTTAGTCAATGCATGAAAAAAATAAACATCACACCACTGCAAGAAAATTCACAATATCCTGGCTCCCACAGCAAACATGCAAGGTATAGATAAAATAACCTCTATAATCCTATGTGAACCCAATGTGACATATTAGGGTGCAATAAGACAATGAACAAATTAATGAATACTTCATCTCTCCTTGTCACTCGGGCAGCTCTTCAAAGATATCACCTATATCCACTTATTTCCATTAGTCTGGGCTGACCTGAAGCAGAGTCAAAAGTGGCAAGTCTGAAAAGAAATCCGCCTCAAATAAGCTCCATCTAGAACCAGGAAGAAGAGAAAGAAGTCAGCAAGCATGTCTCCGTATCACCAACCACACCCCCCCCCAGAGCACCAAGACAGAGTCCACCCAGCCCAAAGCCCTTTATGCGGCAGGTGAGTAGTAGCCCCATACCTTAAACTCCCACAGGTAACATGTCAGGTCAGAGGGAAACTGTACTACAGATAATATCAAGAAAAAAGAGCAACTAGAGTAGAGAGATATCACGCTAAATCAAAGCACAGCAGACAAATTTGCAAAGTCAGCAGCAACAGGACTAAAGAAGAGAGCTCAGCTGCTTGGTGTAGAGGAAGAGAGATTCATTCACTCATGGAGTTGTCGATAGAAAAGCTCTTCCAGCAGAGACTGTTGCTGACCAGGTGAGTCTCCCACTCAAACATCAGCTTAGCTTACTGCGCACAGGTACATGTATGGCAGAAACTGTACAACAGATAATACCAACAATTCACGCTAAATCAAAGACAGACAAATGCTCACCTGCAGGTGCTGCTTGGTGTCTTCATTCATCATGGAGTTGTCGATAAAACTCAGCAGAGACTGTTGCTCCTTCCCACTCAACATCAGCTTTAGCTTACTGCGCACTACATATGGCAGAAAGTGTTCCTGTAACAATATATTGTGTAAATGACATGACATCAAATATTCCTGTAACAATAAACTGTGTAAATGACATGACATCAAATGTTCCTGTAACAATAAACTGTGTAAATGACATGACATCAAATGTTCCTGTAACAATATATTGTGTAAATGACATGACATCAAATGTTCCTGTAACAATATATTGTGTAAATGACATGACATCAAATGTTCCTGTAACAATATATTGTGTAAATGACTTGACATCAAATGTTCCTGTAACAATATATTGTGTAAATGACATGACATCAAATGTTCCTGCAACAATATATTGTGTAAATGACATGACATCAAATGTTCCTGTAACAATATATTGTGTAAATGACATGACATCAAATGTTCCTGTAACAATATATTGTGTAAATGACATGACATCAAATGTTCCTGTAACAATAAACTGTGTAAATGACATGACATCAAATGTTCCTGTAACAATAAACTGTGTAAATGACATGACATCAAATGTTCCTGTAATAATAAACTGTGTAAATGACATGACATCAAATGTTCCTGTAATAATAAACTGTGTAATTGACATGACATCAAATGTTCCTGTAACAATAAACTGTGTAAATGACATGACATCAAATGTTCCTGTAATAATAAACTGTGTAAATGACATGACATCAAATGTTCCCGTAATAATCAACTGTGTAAATAACATCATATGTTGCTATAACAATACACTGTGCATATGACATCAAATGTTCTAGCAACTACGGCACAAAACGTGCGCGCGCACACACATACAAAATCGTATCCCCCAAGCGGTAGCTTTTAGTTATAATTTGATTAGGTTTATGTGCGTCATTTAAAATGGCCTAACACTGCTTACCACCAAGCAGCCCTGAAAAGGACTCCTGCAGTGTTGATGCGATCGTAGGAGACAGACCCAAATAGTTATTCAGACCGATGACGAAGCCGTCTACTGGTCAGCCAGGGGGCAACCTGCTCGCCGATGATGCTACAGCAGAAAATGTTTCTGTAACAGTATACAGCATTTTGGGAGATGAACAGGCAGTCTGGCTGGTTCTGCTCAACTTGGTGGAGAACTGATGTATGACAAGCTAGATGTTGTAAAGGTCCTTTGGGGGTGAGTAAACAGTGCGGAGGCACAGATGGGTCATCATGGTTGGAGGAGAGTGGTGCTGCGAGGAGTGACCAGGGGATCAAGACTTAGGGGAAAGGTGAGACAGGCATACAATTAGACTGTTACTGACACCATTGGAACTGGAACTTTGTGGGGAGCTTGGGGACGGAACGCTTATGGAAATGTCTTAAGGGCTGCGACAATATAATGTGTTTATAGTATTCAATGTTCCTGTATTAATATACTGAATATAGCAGACAATGTTCCTGATTTGATTTGATTCAATTCAAGAACCAACTTCACAGCACTCGAGGCATTCCCATAAGCGCTCCGTCGCCATCTTCAGCAGCCAGTGAAGAGTTCTGATACTAATGGTTCCAGCAGCATTCTGATTAAACGTCCGTCTTGCATTTTTTTTTAGCCTCGAGCATCTGCCAGAACCTCTCGTCACCCCCAACTGCATCAATTTCACCAGACTGTGGTGATCCATCTGCTCCTCTGAATTGTACACGCTCTCCCACAAGGCACTAACCATGTCTGCCTTATCATGCATCAGTATTCCACCAAGCTGTGCAGAGCCACCAGTCTGTCTGCCTGTTCATTTCCCAACACACCGGCATACCCTGGTGAAAAAATCCAGACAATACTCCTCACCCATGTCCTCCGCAGCGAGGCATGTCACTCTGCACGAAGCTTGCCTGTCCTGATCTTCCTCAGCTTGCTTTCTGAGTCAGTTACAATCACAATGTGTGTGTGTGTCGTGTTCTCTAGCCAGCAGAAAGCTGCAGTGACCGCCTTTACCTCCATTCTTAAGCTGGATGATGTGGTATCATATGCTAGGCCCTCCTGCACCAAACGTTGACCATTACCTTTTGCTAAGAAACCCCCAAGCTCTTCTTTTGCCTCTTGACACTGAACCGTCTGTGTAAATAATCAAATCTTCTGAGCGAGCATTATCTTGAAGTAACTGCTGAAATTCCACCTCTGTGGCACCTGCTGGCCAGTCTTTGCATTAGACAATGTTAACAATATACTGAATGTGGTAAAAAATATTCCAGTAACAATACACTGTATATGGCCGAAATGTTTCAGTAACAATATACTGCATACGGCAAAAACATTTCCTGCATATGGCAGAAAATGTTCCTTTAACACTATACTGTATATGGCCAAAACGTTCCTGTAATGATATACCACACATGGAAAAATATTATACTGCAACAATAGACAGCATAAGGGTGAAACAGATTCTGGTCTTCCTATTTTGTGGAGGCACTAGTTTATGAATGTTAAAATTTATTAGTAACTATTTTAGTAAATCTCCATGTTTCTGCTCTTTATAATAGTACATGTTTAACTTTAGAGTCAAGTATTTAAGCAAAGTACTACATTTAATTTCTTCTAACCTTTATAATTTCCCTAAAACTACTGCTCTCACCTGGTAATATTCATCCTCCCACACGCGGTCTAACTTTGGTGTCTCAGAACTGTCCACGCCCTCCACAGCAATTTTCTCAAGGTCATCCCATCGACACAGATTGTTTAAACACTGAATAGAAACCCACAAACTTTCAATAAATATTGCATCAAACACACAGGCAGGACAAAACTGACTGTTAGAAAACTACAAATGCTGAACAACAACAAAATACTTTCCAGTAAGTAAGTAAATTTAAAAAAAAAAAGTGGTCTGTCGTTAAACAAGTGGAAATTTTAAAAAATAAAAATAAAAAAAAGAACCATTTTTGGTTCCAGATAGCTTTCTTTTTAAATCCACTTTCTTCCAGTCATAAAGAACAAATCAGTTGTTTCAAGAAGTGATTAAGCTTTTCTTTCACATTCAACATTCAAATGAAAGGCAAGATGGACACACAATCAGGCTGCTATTAGCACTACCAGAACTAGAACTCTGCGTTGGCTGCTAAAGATGGAGACTCAGTCCTTATGGGAACTTCCTGAGTGATATGATCTTTGTTTTTAATCTGACTGAAGATGGAGACTCGGTGCTTACGGGAGTGTCCAGAGTGATATGATCTTCATTCCTAATTCAACTCAGCTGGTCGATTTTGCAATTACAGAGCTGCAATATGTTTATTTCATCATCATCATAATATTAAAAGGAGGAGGAGGAAGACAAGGGGAATGAGGAAGAGGCAGAGGAAAATGAGACGATGGTGTACATGAAAGATGAGGGAAATAAGGGCAAAAAAATACCTCCATTTGATTATCTTCCCAAAAGATAATCTCTGCATCCAGTGGGTCTCCATCTGTCCAGTCTGTGGTACAAAGTGCCTGTCAGTGTGAAACCAGACACAATGTTAAGAATTCAAACCAATGTAGATATTAAGTGGAAGACCTGGGTTGAAATCCTCGGTAAGGCAGGAGATTTTTTTCTGTCGGGGGCAAAATAAAATCCTCACATGCACAGTTCGTGGCGACAGCACTAGCCATGCGGTCGTAAATCCTCAGGCTCAAAGACTCCCCTGCCTACACCGCAAAAGTTTTATAATAAAGGCAGTCATTGGCAGTAGATATTAAGTGCAGGTTTCTCGTGTTAAAATTTTCAACATTCAGTCATACTATCAAGCAGTCAAGTCCTATTTTGAATAAAATATCCTAATCTGTGCAGCTGATGGTGACTTTACCATTCTGCCCAGAGAAGCTGAAAAACTGACATTTCCAGTTA